GCTAAAGGTTTGAATGATCTTTTGGGTAACTTTACAAGCAAAATTGCGGAACAACACCGAACTGATGGTGAAACTATTAGTCAAATACAATCCGATCAGTTACCTTTTGGTGATATTTTAATTTAAAAGTGAATTTTGAAGACTACAGTGATATTAACATTCCAGAACAAAATGCGCATTTTTGGGGAACAATTAAGACACTGGTAAAGATTGTAGTGCTTACTCCATCAACCAAGTACCTACACCTAACTACTAATGAAATAATTTTATGCCATTTCCGAGCATATTCTGCCAAGGCAGGTGGCTTATTTGAAAGTTTCAGGTATTTTTCCCGAGAAACTGTGGGAGATTGCACAACTGAATTTTAGTTGCTAAGTACTGTAGCGTGGCAATTAACAGCTCTCTACTGGTAGGTAATTGCCTCATGTGGGTATCATTCCTCTCAATAGCTGGGCGAACATATTTTAATAAAGTTTCAAATGTCTCATTGCCCATGCGCAAAAAATTGTTCAAATCATGAGGCGTTTCCAAATCTCTAAGTAAAGTCATATGAGAGTACTTTTTCGAGTCAAGAACCACTGTTTTGACCACAGTCTCTTTTTTTTCGTATCTTCAAATAAAACCATATATCCTCAAATTATTGTGTTCCTCCTTATGATCCATACGAATTACCACAGCACTCAAAAGAACACAACCCAGGACTAGTAGGAAAGGAATCTTTTAAAGTGATCCGGAAAATCCGGAAATAGTAATCGAAAATAGTGCGGTTAGGTACTACAGAACTGAACAGAACGCCGCCTGCTCGTCTATTGAGATTTGTCCGTGATCTGTGTACAGCCATATCCGCCTGTGTGTAGCTCAACACGGATCTGTCCGCCGTACATATCCGCATGTGAATGGGGCCCTTAAGTCGAACCGTCCTCCAAATCCTGTAAACGTTTCTATTTGTTGGATAGTCTCCGGCCCCGAGGAAGATGATACAGCGGCAGGCTGCGGAAAAGCTGTCTCTCAGATTTATCTTAACGTGGCTGACGTGTCGTCGAATAACGCGCCCTGCTCCCTCCAGAACCAACTTTAACTTGGTAGTGCGAAAAATAATCAATCACGACCAGTATCTCTTCAGATATAGGACCAACCTTCATCAAATAGATAGCAATATATTGCCACGGCCCGTTCGGGAACTTATGTCTCGTCATTGGTTTGGACACTGGAGACAATCCAAACAAGTTTTCAATAAATAATCAGAGGACAGTAGCAGTGGAGTCACGTCATGTAACGTTATCAAGTTCAGCAAAGAAAAAGAGAACTGGAACGCCAACCAATAATATGTATAGAATTTTATCTACTAAAAACTGCACGTCCCCCTAAGAGTAAAAAATAAGAGGAGAGAAACTAACGGTGTTGGGAAATAGCATAGCACGCGACGCAAGTCGCCATCATATTACTTCCTTTTGCGCTGGTCAGTTATGTCGACTTGACTTTTCATAAAACAGAAAAGACGAGGTCAGTTTTGTTTTATTACGCCAATGATGACGCGTTCCCCCTCCCCCTCTTATAACTTCTTTTTTATCTATTTCCGTCTGGTGCAATTTTAATGCAAGGTTCTCTCCTTTTATTTTATTTTTTACTCGTAGAGTTCCCCAAAGGTATGGCAAACCTTACCTACACAAGATTATTCAAAACTATAATTATATGAAAAATTGATTGCTTTACGCTTCATATTATTGAGATTTTAGTTGTTCATCTGTTATTTTGTAGACTACTGAAATGTATTGGAAATGTGCACCATAATTAATCCTACATGAATGTTTTATATTATTATTCTGATATTGTTGGAAAACAAGAATTAATTAAAATGTAGAATTACCTTGCCAAAATTATGTATTATAGCCCATTATGACATTTATTGTCATCCCCATCTAGAGAAATGAAAGATTGGGTCTTCTAAAGAGGTAAACAGTCATTTGTAAGATTATGTCTTCTAGTCGAGTATTACATGTACGATTGTAGCATATTTATGTTTTTCCTCAAGAATGAAGAAGGAAATGACCGGAAAGAGTTAGGATCTATCTCTGAGAATGATCACCTCTACACTGCAGATCATTAATATCGCACAGTCAGGAAATGGGTTTGCTTGATAGAGGCTTAATAAATAATATTATTGTTGCAAAAATAAAATTGTTGAAATGCAATCGTATGATTTAATTTCGGTACAATAAAATAAATTACGCTAAATGCAAAAAGGATAGCACGACAGACAAATACAGGACCCTGTATACAGGGACCTTCTACTTCTTAGACTATGAAAGAAAGGGGACTGATAATATCCTATCAAAGGCAATGCTGCGCGTTGAAGCCTGGGGCGGCCATATTTTCGGAGCCAAAGTTTGTTTAATTTTTCATTTTCGTGATTATGCGATGCTTAAGTCTCGAAATGTGCGATTAAAAACATTAATGGACAATGGAAGGTACATTGTAGTGCACGGAAGTGCTAGCCAAAAAACACATGCCTCTTAAAACCTTGAATCCGACAAACGTCAGACCCTCGCGCAAGGTTGCCGACTCACTTCTACGTGATTGGTTGTAGGTTTGTGACCTATTTAGACTGAAGCGGTTCAAATTCGGACTAAAAACACAGCTTTTCAATAATTTATTTTGAGTTTACTTTACCCGCAAATAAAAATTGAGGACACACGGGTCTTTTTATTTTTAATGTACTTTGTAGATCAGAAATAAAAATGAAGCCCCCATTTAAATAGACATATGAAAAATATTCACAATTCTTCTGTGGGAGGTCGAAAAAAATCCTAGTTGTGTTCTGTTTATCACAGACAAGAGTATTTTAATCTGTGCTATTGTACCAGGAACATAGTAATTTTAAAAATTGTATTTTTCAAATCGCGGCGGCTAACGTAACGCCTGCGCATTTTTATGGAGTAGTGAGTACCTACTTCAGATTCGATATGTAAGTGGGACTTTCTGGCGGATAAAGCTTGACAGAAAGTTGGCATGTGTTACTGGTAAATTTTTTCAAGTTACAATATCGGAAACCACATTATGTGACGTATTCATCTTAACTTTTAACTGAAATATAAGTATGAAGTATGCATAGATACTTACTTGTTTTTGTCCGAGTGGAACTGTATTTGTAAATTCAATCCATGTTACTGCTTCATTGCAAGGAGGCGTCGTAAGGGATCCACCATAAAAATAATAGACAGATGTTTCTTGAGCAATTAATTTTTCTAGTGGAGGAAAGTCATCAATCGCTGTATTCGCAAAAGGCTCCTTCAGCTGCGGTAAAACTTCGGTAATGGACCCATAATTTTCATTGTCAATATCAGATACCTGTTGAGACCAAATAATTAATCTACTGCATCCATCGATCAAATTTATCCCTACCAACGATTGACAAATTAAATTTGATTAGGTACAAGTAAAAACATTGATTAAAAACTAATTTTATAATCTCCCAGTACTTTTTATGCCAAAAATGTGTAAAGAGAAATCGATTTTATATTGTGATTGGATAGATGTTGGCGATTTGGCACCAAGGTACACACCTGGAAAAGAAACGCCAATACTGTTAAACCATCAGGATGTTCAATAGCTTCTTGAAAAGAACCATAAGCTTGTTGAAAGAAAACGGCATGGGCTTCCAGTGGGTAACTAGAAATATAACATTGTAACCACCACTAAGTTTAACACCTGATTATTATAGATTACATGATTGTCATTTTAACGTCCACCCACAGGGTGACGCATTTAATATGATCCAGAGATCCAGATCATTGAATAAGTAATTATTATTCAATGTCCTTGAATACCCCGGGGGAAAGAGATGTGATATCGGCATACGCCCGCATACCGTTTTGACTAAACATATGACCACTTAGGTAAATAGAAACCTATTTGACGGTGATTTTCATTTGTCTTTATCTGTGCATTTTATTCCCACTACAATACCGATTTTAGTATCTTAAAACATATTTATGTACGATCTTTTCTGGTGGAAAGACAATACAATGAATAACAACTTGTGGACAAATTGAAAGTTTCCCAACAAAAGCAAAACAATATCACATGATAAAAGAAAAACATGGCTACTTAGACTAAAAACTCGTGAAAACAGAATCTTTATATTTAATTTTTTCACGTACAAGACGAGGTAGAATAATCGTTTCACATGATTTAGATGCAGAATTTATATCTCTATAACTTTTAATTGAAGTATTTTTGCGTAAAATAATTATAGGAAACGTTTGCGCAAAGAAAAAATAATTTCCCAGGTTAAACGCCTAATGTTCCACTTTTCGATTTACACCCTGTAATTATTATAAACAAAACTTACAATAGGTAAGCAGGTAACCTCAAGTTCAAAGCAAGCAAATTCAAATTTTAACGCGCTTGCGATTGCGCAGTGCCAAAGTCACCGAGGGAGTCACATCTGCAAATGGTGATGGTGAGAGTCTAGGAACAATTTCACCTAATGTCACCTCTTTGACCTTTCAGAGGAGATAGAAACACAGCTTCCGCCCTTCAACAAAATTCCACAACATGGCCTACAACCAAGGTTGTTTTATTAGAAAATAACCTTGGCCTACAACTACCTATTTAACGATATCGCGAATACCCATACCAGATGCTACCTTGGATTTACACCGATCAATCGAAAATGAAAAAGTGTGGGGCTGCGTGTTTTAAGTTTTACAATAGGGAAAGTAGTCCAGTCAATTTGTACTTTCTGATTACAAAAGGTCCGGTAGAAGATTTTATTTTTCCGACTTGTTTAAATGGTAAAGAGAGAGAAAAATCCAAGTTTGCCAATTCGACTGACGTCGGGAGAAATTTCTGTGGACAAAAATCTGCAAAAATCATCCATTATTAAAAACTGTAGTGTATAAAAGTACCTTTAATTTGATATTTTATTTGGCCCCCTAACATGTATAGTTTAGGAGATACACTAATTTAAAGTTTCGTGTTTACTGTAATTTTTAAAAATAATAACATTTTTAGCGCATTTTTACACATGAATTTGGAGTTTTAAAAGTATTTCAACGCATTATCTTGATGCTGAAAGAGTACATCACGTGCACATTTGATAACCGCATGTGTGTGATTCCAAGATGTTAAATTATTTTTCTGAGGCCACCTGGATTTTGATCAAAACATGTCAAAATCGTTATTTAAGCACAAAGATCGTTTGGAAAAAGACTAAGAGCATTATCTCAATGACCAAAACATGAATTTTACATATTTGTGACAACTACATGGATTTTGATCAAAACCTGTAAAAATCGTTATTTATGCACCAAGATCGTTGGGGAAAAGACCAACAGCATTATCTCAACGATCAAAACATGAATTTGGCCTATTTTTGGCGACCACGTGGATTTTGATCAAAACATGTCACAATCGTTATTTATCCACCAATCTCGTTGGGTAAAAGAACATTATCTCAATGACCAAAAGATGAATGTGATCTATTTTTGGCAACCACATGGATTTTGTTCAAAACATGTCAAAATCGATATTCTTGCACTAATGTCGTTGGGAACAAGATTAAGAGCATTATCTCAATGAAAAAGACATGAATGAATATTAAAATAAATTGTCGTTAAAAGTGATTGTGATACTGAGGATCCTTCGATATTTCGTTGTATCGGTTTATTTAATGATAATAATTATTTTTGGTATGGTATTGTAAATCGCCCGGGAGACATCTACCAGCACAGCGAAGGGAGTCAAAACGAAGAAGTGCTACAATCCTGCAAAGATGACACGATCTCGGCTAGTATATCCTAAGGCTAAGGTATACTTTAATTAAAGTATATGTCCTCTATACAGTATCTGATGGCTGACCATACAAAGCTCCTATGTTAAATTAATAAGATCCCATCTTAGCTACTTTCATTTTTTTCAAATGTTTTTAAAAAACGTCAATATCTGAATTATTCATTGCATTAAGATTATTATTGATAAAATGTAATTTTGATAAAAAGTCGAAACTGCTAAACAAACCGACCGAATATGTATCTAAAAGAACTACATAGGTTTCTTTTAATTACACTGCTGTTAATTTTCTAAGGTAGGTTGCATAACTGTTAGGCATATTATTCAATGCTTGGAGATTTGTATGTTCAGAGTTAAAATGTATATAGGTACGCACTGCATATAGATCAGTAACGAAGCGTTTGCGGACCTATGCCTATATGAACTTTTAGCCAGAAAATAAGCCAAAGAATTAACCCCTTCCATATTACATTATATTTAGGAACACCCTGTATTCGGTTGACGTGTTCTTTTTAAGTGAACATAGGGATCATAGCATTGTATGTTCACTTAAAAAAACTCACTCTATTAGTTTTTAAACTCTAGTTTATAGTTACATCGCATTGGAACTGCTGTGACTCCTATGGAGTTTGCCTATTGTATTTAGATCACTATTGCAGTGGTTGTTCCTTGTTTTTCCAGGGCATTGTGTTACATGCTTGTTAACACAATGAAGTAGCTATACACCCATATATATATACAAGGTGTCTCTAAAAGGTCTGTACAACGCGCTACCAGGGGTTCTTGGTATCAAAATAGTACGATTTAACCCAACTTACCTCTATCCAAAAGTGCTTCGGTAAGGCGCTATCTACCCCCAAAGATTAAAAAAAAATCCTTATTTTTATTTTATCGGAAAATGGTTTTGCCGATTAAAATGAATGTGATGTGAATGTCTAATGTAAAAAGGGTCTTTGTGATATCATCGTTTTGATTGTAGTTGCTATGTAGGTGGTAAAATACTGACCATCCACATCTGAAGAGATCTAAAACTTTTTAACTACTATTTTGACGGTTCTGAATTTTTAGACACTGATAGACAGTTTACTTGCAAGCATTTTTTGTCTCTTGATGAATATCGCTATCTGTGATGGTTTACGAAAAAAAAAATTTAGGGATGATGAATGGCATGTACCATACATGCGATTGTTCCTCAAAAAATCAGAAAATGGCTGTGAAACCTTAGAGTGGCGTATTCCACACCCGCTAATACGGAAGAGGAATTGTGGCGGCGGATTCAAAATTCTGTAGAAACTTTAAAAAATAACGCTGCAAAGTGGTGCAAAGGATACAGTTTAATTTATTACGCCGTATAATGCTTTGTATGCGTGAAAATGGTGGTCACTTTGAACATTTAGTAGTTTAAATTAATACATTACATTGATATTATGTTATCAAAAATCTCTAAACCTTCCCCATATAGTTTTATTTCGTTGAAGTTTTTAAAAATAACAGCGACTATAGTTTCGCGTACTGCCATCATCAGGCGATGTGAAAGTTAACAGGAAACGGTAAATTACAAACGTTGAAGACGGATAAGACGAAATGTTGTTTTTTTAATTATAAACTTGCAGTCCTGTTAACTTTCACATCGCCTGATGATGGCAGTACGCCGAAACTATAGTCGCTGTTATTTTTAAAAACTTCAACGAATAAAAACTATATGGGGAAGGTTTAGAGATTTTTGATAACATAATATATTTCAACCCCCATTTCGAGGAACGATGGATCCAACTCAAAACATTACATTGACTTACTCGGTTGTGTTCGTTTGTTACGTTACATGCACTACGGTTTCATAGCCTTGCTTGCACTTATGGTTTTTGAGGAACAATCGCATGTATGGTGCATGCCATTCATCATTTTTTTCGTAAACCATCACAGATAGCGATATTCATCAAGAGACAAAAAATGCTTGCAAGTAAACTGTCTATCGGTTTTAGAGAGTTTTAGACCTCTTCAGATGTGGATGGTCAGTATTTTATCACCTACATAGCAACTACAATCAAAACGATGATATCACAAAGACCCTTTTTACATTAGACATTCACATCCCGAATTTCATTTTAATCGGCAAAACCATTTTCCGATAAAATAAAAATGACGATTTTTTTAAATCTTTGGCGGTAGATAGCACCTTACCGAAGCACTTTTGGATAGAGGTAAGTTGGGTTAAATCGTCCTATTTTGATACCAAGAACCCCTGGTAGCGCGTTGTACAGACCTTTTAGGGACACCCTGTATATATGTATACACCCACAGTTCAAAATGTAATATGATGGCTGACATAAACAAAACCGAATTGAATGCTCGAAATAATATTTTTTAATACTTTACTAGAAATGACCCTAACGGCCGAAACTTCAAAATTTGAATTGCTGACCCTGTATATGTGAGACTCTATAATTTAATCTAGAAATGATGAACATACCTATTATTGTTAATGGTATTTTCTGATCCTTCGGCATTGTTCGCACCCCAATGGAAATGAATCTGAGCAAATTCATAATCTCCAATTAATGGTCCACCGGAAATTGTAGGAGGTTGTTGTGTTAGAAAACTAACTACGACTAAAATAAAATTACTAAAGTTTTTCTCTTGAGTCTTGAGAGATTGTAGTAGATGGAGTACCTATAAGGATATATCCATGATTGTACAATGTTTGCAAATATATCCTGCTAAGATTAAGCGCAAAGTATTTGTACAAAGAAATTGGGGAAGATGGAGATAACGAAATGAACATAAATGTCTTCATTCTTCATCGCAGTTGCCTTGAGGTTGAATTTATTCAAAATCTATTTAATAACCCAAAATTGGCATTTAGAATATTCTTATCCTTAAACTACTTGCTAAATTAAAGGATCGAATACATGCGCCGTCGAATTATTGCTTTTTTGTGGTTGCGATGTAGAGGAAACTTTTGTTTGGTTTGTTGTATTGTAAGGGTAGGATTGTACTTTTAGCTAAACCATTGAATTGCTAAACGTTTATATCATGCAGTACTATCACTTTAAATAATTTTATCAGATATTCTGATATACATATACACATATTCAGCCCTGTACATGATGTATCTTTCAGGTTACCTGTATAGAAAACGTTATTTTGCGCATATCTACTACATAACGCAAAATACGTTTTTCCTGAATCCGTTGAGTGACCTATCCTTCACTCAACGCTGAATCACAAATCTGCGTTTTGAACACTCACTACAAATATATGGCTTAGTGTGCCATTCAAATAAAAGTTTTTTTATTTCAATGTAGGGTGCGGACACAAACGGAGCGCCAACCATCGCCGTCGTTCCGAGCCGACCATAGCATATCGCATACTCCGGTCATCAAAAAATAAACGTGCAAAATTAGATTACAGTCGGCGAGCGTCGACCATAGGCCATGGCCCCGCGCATGGAGTGAGAGCGGGAGCCGAGGTGTCGCACATAAAATTGAGCTTAGTATTTCTTACCTCGACCTTTGTACCTATACTTGCTGTATTGAAACGCTGATGGATAAAGAAAAATTAATCCTTCTTCTGATTCAATTGGTTTTGCGGTAGTGACAATTCTGGTAGTTTTTGTTCAGTTTATCTCCAAATTGTTTTAAAATATATAATTAATCAAATATTTCTATTTTCACCCTCATATAATAAAAAAAACGGATTAGGTCTTTCCTTAAATTTTTATGTAAACGATGAAATAATTATCCATACAACATAGATACTCTTTTTTTGTTTAGGTAATGGATCTTCCTATCTTCATGTTTTGACACTCGTTATACCAGGTATCACTTTTTAGCACTTGAATTAAGAACCTGAGCAAAAGGATGCCGAAAAACTGATACAAAAGTGCGAGAGTCGAGGGTACTATGGTCGGAACTCGTAGCAATGGTCGTCAGCGTACCCCTATGAAAATGTCATATGGGCCTGAAATAAAAAATCTTCTTAGTGTCGCTTTCTGTAAATGCAAAAGATTTCTTTGGCTTGTACCTATCCTTTGTTCGAAGCTCTCAATCTGTTCCATTTCTTAATCGCAGCATTGTTTGAAGTTTTAAATGAATGCACCAAAGGATAGAAAATTTAAATACCTTTGACAATTTTTTTCATATATGCGAGTATTTATCGATGCATTTAAGACTTTGTTTGACAAATAAGGTGCTTCCTATTCATCTACGAAAACAACTTTTCGCATTCTTAATTTATAATATGCTTTACTGGATTGATTTTGTACTTACTAACTTTTCTTCTGCTTTTGCAACAAGTACTGCACGGTGGAGTATCTTTTTCAAGCGAAGTCATTTTAGTAACAAAGGCGGTGTTTTTCCATGACAATCATGGAATTAAGAATAAACAGTCCACTTAATTAGACATGTACTCGACTATATGCGGTCATTATGACTTTTTTATTTCCCTTATTTTAAAATTATATTGCAGGTATAATAAAAAATAGGAACACGTGTATAATTGGTCTTTAAAGCACTGACAACGTTTAATGGCCCTCCACTACGTGCCGTACGATTAACATCGTTGCGCGTGCTTTAAAGACTTATTTATACACATATTATCAATAGTTTGGCGTTTTTGATACATCATCACAGAGCTGAAGCTTTAAATGTAAGTAAGTATGTACCCGTTTTATTTATTTTTCAGTTTAGCATTTCAAGAAAAAATACTTTCGCAATGTTTCTTCCTGTTTCTGGTGGTAACATAGAAGACATCAGCCGAGTAGAAAAAATATAATCCTTGGAATTTGGAAATGAGATTAAGTTTAGTTATTCGATACTGATTTGCCGGATTTTAGCATTTTTTTATGTTCAACTAGAAAAACTCATTAACTTTAAGAAAAACTCACTGTATAGGTTATTCATTAGCATTACTATCATTTTGTAAGACCACAGATACAGTGAATTTTTCTTAAATGTATACGTACGGGCTATGTAATGTATAGTACTATTGATACTTTAAAAAAACGGATCAAACGCATGGAATCGTGAGACTATAGACTGTATTAATTGTAAGAAGGTAGCGGTAGAAAGCATACGGAAGCTTTGACCTTCAGTGTGATTGGTTAAAACACGAGTCAGTATTACGCTGAAACATAAAACGAGTGGCGAATTTTGCAAAGTAGTTTCTGTTGCCAATTAAACTGTTGAAGTGTCATTAGCTGTTAATGTCAAAGATTTATTTCTGTTTGCAGTGATGGATGTTTGTACTTTACAATACTTTGGTGCCGTTTTATATTTTTCCTGTGTGTGCTTATCTTCAAACACAGTCCCATCTACTACATCCTTATAATGAATGCAGTATAGTATCACCATTGTATTTATAAATGCAATGGTATCACGTAGCATGGAACAGATAACTGTAGGCAACCAACATTACACGCGACAAACTGGAGCCGTTTTTACAGTTCTTAAACTGTTACCACCGTCCCAGTCCCACACTGTGTTAATGGGTACGTTCAGTCGACACAACTGTTGAGACGTTGACTTACCTGAACGATGAATGGTGACTTCTGGTTGTGAAGTCAACAGTTGGTAATAATTGGCACCACAAATTTGGTTTTGGTGTAATATCATAACCCACCAACATGTTTGTCAACAGAACCGTTCAGGCATATGTTGACATTTGCTACTAAAACACGTTTACGGTGTTAGTCAACAGTTGCCTCGGCTGAACGTATCCAATGTTTCAACCTTATCGTCTTTGCTATACATCTTTAAATCTTTATGTAATAAAAATAAAGACTAATAGCTAACCCTAATTTGACATTGAATAATCAAGTTACTGTTTCCATAGCTGATGTTTACCATTTAAAACAATTTATTCGTGTAGAGTTATGGTTGTCTATTGTAGCCGTTTTGAAAAATATACATAGCCGGTACGAATAGGTATGCATTTAAGAAAAATTCCCTGTTTATTTATTAATATTCCTAAGAAAACAAACAAAAAAGAAACAATACCTGTGTGACCGTTGTTCTTTAGTATTGCTTTATTGATAGGCAAGTTGAAATTTGTAAACGTCATTGGCGGTAGATGTACCATGTGAACTTGATGCTGTAAAATATTTATGGGACTTTGATGCTTTCCCACGCAATGTTGGTATTTTTCGCCCCAATGTGTCGGCCCTTCAAATAAAAATGAGCGCAGTAAATAAAAATGGCAAAAGTAAGTATGTTTGATAGTAATATAGGTACCTATACACTTCAGTCGTCAATACAGTACCTACCTATAACCCAAGATAAGGTTTACTACTATACCTATTATAATCGACCATTTTATTCATTTTTTGAGAATTCCTTATAAAAAGTCCTGCTTGTTCCAAAACTTTAAATGACCATTTAGTTTTCTTTTAAAGTCCGAAGTTTTTGAATAAATTGAAAAAAAACCTGTCTTGCTTGGAAATAATACAAAACAATTGTACCGTATCGACAATATCCGGGACTATTCAACGGAATTTTTAAACGCGCTAGAATTGCGCGAATTACTACTATACAATTTGCATTACAAGTTGGATCGGTAATCATTATATTATGTTGCGGAAAATAAACCAACCACGTCTTAGTAATGGCACCCAGCATGCGGTGAAGAAATTAATGAACAGCAAAACAAAACTAGCAATGTTGTGTATCAAAAAGCATTACAATAAGCACGCAATGTTTTTTAAATAATTTTTGTTTATTATTTATTCCAATTCGAATTGAATATTCGCATAGCCTTAGGCCGGAAGTCCACCGGATCGGAGCGACCCAGATCGGTGTGATTTGGATCGTGCGATAAAGATCGCGCGCGCGGCGCGTGTATTTCTATTGAAGCCTGTCCACAGGCTCGATTTTTGTCGTGACCGATCGAAATCGAACGGTTTTCACTGGCCTCTTTGGATGTTATTTGGCTACTTTTTCATAAAGAAAAAGTCATATCATCCCCCATTTGATTTTTTTCCCATTTTTTTAGGATTTTGGGTCATAGTGTCAAAACTAGCCCCCTGACGGAGAAGGATTCAACTAAATTAACTATATTTTGGTTGATTCTTATTGCCCCAAGAATGCTCTTTTCAACGATACCAAATTTGTTACAATCGGTCAAACCGTTAAGAGGTTAAAGCAGGTTATTGCAAAAACAATTGAACGTTTTTGAAATAACTGAGTTTTTGTTTTTACGAAAATGATAGATAAACTGGTTCTCTTTAAAAATGTGAAAAAAGAATGTTTAGTTTATTATGCGAAATTTAAAGAAAATGCAGTTTTAAAATGTAAGATGGCTGTTATGCCCTCTGGTGGTCATTTTTAGCACTTGAAAATATTTTCCAGCCATTCTTCATGGCCGATTTACCCAATAATTTTTTTTACCCCTAAGTCATACGACGAACGGTTCTCGAGATATGGCCGAGGAACAGTCTTATTGGGTCACCCGGTACTGTAAATGTAATAGACCAAAAGTTGCAAAACTACCTGTTTAAGTAGGGTAAGCGCTCCGCAATACCGATCAATAAACAAATAAATGAACATTCAACTTACCTTCTAATCCTTCATAACCAAAATCTTGGCAGAAACCTGTAATGAAAGGATATACAATTAGAAGCGAAATTGTTATATTCCTTAGTTGTTGCAGATTTCTCAATAGTTTGACTGCATTTTGATCTGCCTTGTGATGTTCATAGTAAGGTAATAAATCTTGTAAAACTTCTTTCAAAATATAAGGAAACCTATAATACTTGCCGTGTATCAAGACCTATAGGTAATTGTAGTTATTATAAGCTTAAGTATACTTATATCAATATCGGTAGATAGCTCGACGGGTATCTACAACAAAAACAAGTTAAAAAAGTCATTATGCAAACATAAATGACGATATCGTATTTTCCTCGGCTCTTAATAATATTAATGCTAGGACTGGGAAAAGATACCAGTAGGCACGAGTACCTTACCCCATTCTCTTTCAAATGAGCCGCCTATCGTCGAAGTCTATACAATTTAATGAAAAATAGTGGAGCGTATACAAATACATATAAATTTTGAAATGGGCATTAGTTTTACTTTTATTCGAAGTGTCTACATATGAAACTTTTTTAATGCTTTCGTAAACAACATTGCGCATTGTCTACATGGAATAAATAAAACATACAGCATGCGTAAACAGTAATTTTGAAACCGGTATTAGTTTTAGTTTCATGCAAAGTGCCTACATATGATATTTCATTTAACTGTTTTCATAAATAAATTTCCTATTTGCTTGTCTTCCAAGTATCTATGTATTAAATTTCATTTAAATGCTTTCGTAAATAAGGAAGTTGGCATTGCGCATGCGCAAAACCAAAATTTGCAACTGCTATTAGATTTGTCTTGATGCCAAATGCCTATGTATAAAATTTCATTTAAATATTTTCATAAATACAAAAGTTAGCATTGCACATGCGTTAATCCAAATGTTTGACACTGTGCATCCGCAAAACCAAAAAATATCCGTATGCACGGTATCATTGGACCAATCCCTTTCAAATGAGCCCTATATCGCCCAAATCGGTTCAGTGGTGTAGAAGGAGTACGTGTGACGGACGGACGGACGCGATTTTTCACTTTGAGGAAAATACGCTAAAAAATAACCGAAGATATGGACAGATAGAGGGACATAGCGGAAAATTGTGAAACCTACTAACCATTGAATTTGATAAATATTAACTCGAAGAGTGTAGCTGCGTATACTAACTTTTATCGGTTTTGTCAAGAGAGAGCGAAGAAAGCAGAAGCGGAATATTATAAAATAGAGTAGAAAGCTTATAGTCCGGGAAATAGAGACTGAAAATGGACCATTTCCTGCAAATCAAGAAGTAGTTCCAATTTTATTTTGCATGTTGTGGTGGTTAATAATCCAAGTTTTCGACCTCCCACCCAGGCCCGTAGCCAGCAGGGGTGGCCGGTATTTTTTCTAGGGTAAGAAGTTTTTGATAAATACCTCCCCTGTAATTTTTGTAAAGGAACCATTAACCGTAATTTCCAGTGGGGACAAGACCACGTCTAGGTGGTGCTCACCTTCACCTGTCCACCCTCTGACTACGGGTCTGCTCCCATCCACCTCCTCCGTACCACACCTAAAACCCCCGAAATTTGGTTAGTTTTTTAGTCTTTCACTTTCCAAAAATATTTTGCGATTAAAAATTATAGACCCTACAATTTTACACAAATACTTTTTTTTGTGAAATTTTTATCTCAAAAGATATATGTAGAGCTTCAAAGTTGTGTGTATATTTTGAAGAATCCTGAAATTTCTATAGGTACAGATATTCGAGCAGATATTTGAACGAAATTTGATACATTATCTCCATAATTTTAAGAGTCGTATGAGTAAATACCTGGAATATTATTTTTTATTATCGGATGCCCAGTTGTCGCCTGTCGGACGACATTTAAACGATAATGCCTGGTTGCGCGAGTGCAAAATGTAATAATTATTCACGAAAAACGAAAGGTTAAGATGTTAAATACTTGAATATACGTATGCGAAAAAAATTTGTAGACTAAACAAAATTGGGGCATCCGTTATCATACGAGGAGACGCTGTAGCCGAGTCAAATAAGAACGTTCTTAGAATAGAAGAATAAGCTTTGTACAAAATTACATGCAAAAAGTAAATAAATAAACTGAAAGCAATTTATTTAACATAATTAATCTGATTAATACGATGTATAGGTGAACTAGGATATTTACAGTACGCGGAATAGTAGGTATTTTACATTATTAGCCAGGTAAGTGAGTTTTTACTGGCGATAGGAGAAGTTGACTAGCGAGCAGTTAGGCGAGCTTGTCATCTCCTAGAGCCAGTAAAAACTATTACCTGGCGTATAATGTACCATATTTTATTTGTTACTCATTTGTAAACAATAGTAAATGTAAATAAATTAAACAAATATAGCAAACGACCTCCTGGGTATGGCTATAGCATGTGCAAAACCAAATTTTAAACCTGATGTTAGTTTTGCTTTTGTTTAAAGTGTATATGTATGAAATTTCATTTGAATGCCTCCATAAATAAGTTGCGCATGCGCAAAACCAAATTTTGAAACTGATGTTAAATTTTCTTTTATTCCAAGTGGTTATGTACCAAATTTCATTTAAATTCCCCTATAAATCAGAAAGTTGGCACTGCGCATGCGCAAAACGAAATTTTGAAACTGGCGTAAAATTTGGTTTTATTCCAAGTGCCTATATATCAATTAAATTTTATTTAATTGTCTCCATAAATAAGGAAGTTGGCACTGCGCATGCGCAAAACCAAATTTTGAAACTGGCGTTAAATTTACTTTTATTCCAAGTGGCTATGTATCAAATTTTATTTAAATCCCTCCATGAATAAGAAAGTTGGCACTGCGCATGAGCAAAACCAAATTTTGAAACTGGCGTTAAATTTGCTTTTATTCCAAGTGGCTATGTATCAAATTTCATTTAAATACCTTCATAAATAAGAAAGTTTGCAATTCGGTCTGTAAATGGTCGAGGTCGAGGGCACTGTGAATGCTGATCGATTAGGTTCAACTTTTGGAATTGAGTTTTATATGGTCAAAGCTATGCGCATATTGAATTTCATGCAATTCGGTTCATAACTAACGGAGATGTCAAAAGGGCCTACTTTATTTTTTGGGCTACATTGCCAATTCACGAACTTCGATCTACAAATTTGATAAAGAATCCACCTGCAAAATTTCATCGTAATCGGTCCATTCGTTTATGAGTTATCGTGCTAACGGACGGACGGACGGACGGACGGACAGACACAACAAAATTATAAACTCGCTAGGAGCTCGTTAATAATTAGTTCATAAATTGATCTTGAAGAAATGTCTAAAATATCATGTTATCCATGTAACAGAGACTTCGCCTTAATTCTGGGCAATGAGATTACTAGAATACTAACTTGTAAATTTTTTACAGGTCTGCTGTCAGTTTTACAAGTATAGCGTTTAAACATGACGTTTACCCATTTGCGTTTTGTCTTGTTAATCAACGTTTACAACTGAGTAACAAATGAATACTTTTGTCTTACTAACCTATCATACATCATAGCACATTTTATATCTGTGATACGCGGGCAAAAAGTACCACTTTATGCCCTAGGGCATTAAAGGGGTAGTATACCCAAAATTAAAACAAATTGTAGAAGAAAATCTAAAAACAAAATTTCAAACCGGAGTTTTCAAATTATTAACGATGAAAGTTTGAAAGACAGAACATGTGACGTCATCCCGACATTGTGGGTGCGGTGGCACGGATCCAAGCAGTCCAAACGCGTCAGTTCTTTCATATTCTAATTCGCTTTCCTTTGAAAAAAACAAGAAAACCTTACTGAAGTATCATCCGAACATATATCCTCATATAAATTGGAATATTTGTAATAAATTTCTGTACTCAGCTCAGATTGGATACCTATGCTTTCAGAAAACGTTATTGGTTCCGTTTGATTCAGTTCTTCTGTTTGATTGTGGCATATGTTTGATGTTGAGCTGGTTTCTCCACTACGAAGTTGATCGTTTACCCGCAATAAGCAATCAGACACAATCTTACTTTCTTAGATAAGTTGACTGACGTGTTGTAGCTTTATTAGGACCATATTATGTTATAAAAAATCTCTAAACCTTCCCCATATAGTTTTATTCGTTGAAGTTTTTTAAAAATAACAGCGACTATAGTTTCGGCGTACTGCCATCATCAGGCGACTAGAAGTGTATCACAATATAGCAAATTTGAAAACATTAAGAGCTAGTACTTACTGTGAAAGTTAACAGGAAAACGGTAAATTACAAACGTTGAAGACGAATAAGACGAACATGTTGTTTTTTTAATTATTAACTGGCCGAAGCCAAGTGAAAAACCTGAAGGGTGATTAAAACGGAAAGGTTGTCCTAAGTTTCAAGACGAAATTATTATCAAGCCTTGTTAAGACAACCAACCGGAGGGTTGAATTTTTACATTAAAGGTTGAAAGTTGGGTTAACCTAAAAATGAACAAAGTTTTAGATTTCAAAAATAACTTATCTAAAAGGTACTTACACATTTCAAAAGAACGGGGGGAAAAAATAAACTTATAAAAGTATTGAAACTATTATAATAAATGTGTAAGTACCTTTTAGATAAGTTATTTTTGAAATCTACAACTTTGTTCATTTTTAGGTTAACCCAACTTTCAACCTTTAATGTAAAAATTCAACCCTCCGGTTGGTTGTCTTAACAAGGCTTGATAATAATTTCGTCTTGAAACTTAGGACAACCTTTCCGTTTTAACCACCCTTCAGGTTTTTCACTTGGCTTCGGCCAGTTAATAATTAAAAAAACAACATGTTCGTCTTATTCGTCTTCAACGTTTGTAATTTACCGTTTTCCTGTTAACTTTCACAGTAAGTACTAGCTCTTAATGTTTTCAAATTTGCTATATTGTGATACACTTCTAGTCGCCTGATGATGGCAGTACGCCGAAACTATAGTCGCTGTTATTTTTAAAAAACTTCAACGAATAAAACTATATGGGGAAGGTTTAGAGATTTTTGATAACATAATATATTTCAA